TGAGCAGCCGCCAGCTGGAGAACTCGGGAGCCTGAGAAAAGCTGCTGGGGGCCAGAGCGCCCCTGCGTGTCCTGTCTTGAGGGGACCCACACCCGTACAACACCTGCGGAGAACATGCCTGGTTTAGGACTGAGCCAGGAACCTGTATTCAAACTTCAGGAAGAGGACCGCGGAAGACCTTTTTCCCAGAACGGGAAGCTGTCAAGCAAACGTTTTCATTCAGGGATTTTTAGAATTAGACAGTTGTGGTTTCATTGTGTTCTCCAGTAATGTCGACTGGGCTCCTCCCGGTAATCAGAAATTTCTTTTAAAAGGTGAAACTATTGAGCCTATCTCAGTGCTGCCCTTCTAATTTATTATGCGGTAAACAGGACACCGGAAGAAAGTCTGCCGACCCTTCAGGAGATTCCTGGACCAGACAGACGTGCACACGCTCCCACGCTTGCTCCATAACCCCTGGGAGACATCACAAGCTCTGGGTAAGTTCATCTCTGCTGCCCAACTCTCCTGGATGGTTGCCAGGCGCTGGTGGGAGCAGAGGACTGAGGAGTGAAGCTCTCTGGGCACTGACATTAAAATTGGTGACACGGCATCTCCTAGGGCCCTTTTAAAACATGGTGTCTGTCTTTGAACTCTTGAGTTTACTTTTTTACATCTTGCCCTGCTGATGATGGCACAGGCATTCATGTTTGGTAATCCCTTCCATTTTATGTTTATCAGTTAGCCAATCTCTTAAAAAAAAAAAAAAAAGCAAGCAAATCCTAAAGCTTTCCCTTTGGGATCTGGACATACTGTGGGGAAGCCTCGTCAGCATGAAGGTCAAGCAAAAGAATGTGTTCTGTCCCAGCCTCAGAGGAGTAGAAGACACACACAGGAGGTGGCAGATGGAGGGAAGGCTCTCAAGGCTCAGTCTCCCCTCTATGGGAGGGGACAAGTGAGCTACAGCAGAGAAGTGGAGGACAGCATTTTGCCCCCATTCTTTGCAGGATGACCCAGCAGCCTCCTTGGGCAGAGGGATGGCTGAGGTTAGGAACCTAGCTTTCTGGAGCTGATCTTGGCTCCTGCTGTGCTATGGGCCAGGCCCCAGAGGCTGCATTCCCTGAGGGGGAAATGTGGAAAGTGACTGAGTCCACAGCCAGGGGTTGGGGAAGGAAGCCCAAGTAGGCGGGGGACTAGGTGACCCTGCAGCTGAGGCTGTGGGGCAACAGCCCTGCCCAGAGTGGGGATGGAGGCTGAGACCAAGATTCAGAGGTGTCTACAGATGCCAGCAAAGGTGAGCTGAGGCTGGCTCAGCCAGGCAGCACCAGGTCCCGACCAAGAGGAGAGAGAGAGAGGAAAATGCAAGTTTCACCAGCCACATGCCTGGGTGGTGCAGGTCAGCCTCACCAGCTGGACCCGGGAGCCAAGAGTCCTCCTCCCCTCAGAGACCAGGGAGCATTCGGTGAGCACCATAAGAATTTCCTAGATGGCCCCCTTCCAGCATCACCCACGAGACGTGTAAACCACACATACTCCTTCCCCAGCCTGGGAAAAGTAGGGAGCTGGGGTGGAAATCTGAGAGACTGCGCATTTATTGAACTAGACCATTCACATGATTGCATCCCACCCCCCCGGACCAGGTCAGCAATGATTTCACTGGGTGGTTTGCTCCGTTTCTGGCAGGTCCAGACAGTGAACAATCACGAAGATCACATCAGGCATTGAGAAGAAATTAATCAATGTGGCCTTGTGGTCTGAGGAGCCCTAGTGAAGGTGTGTTCTCACCTCACCACCCCGGGCAGCTCGTCCTCCGTCCACCCTCCAATCAGTCCACGTTAGAGGAGACTGGGGCATCTCTGCCCTGTCCTCTCCTTGAACTAGGCCCAGGTTTCACATCCCGTGTAAGTGGACCCCAACACGGAGCACAGAAGGATGAGCAGACCAGACAGACACACGGAGTGCCACCGTCACTCAGGAGAGCTGTCACGGAGGGGAGCAGGTCCTTCTCCAGTCTGTCATGGCCTCCACGAGCCATGCCAGGCTCCATTCTCCTTTAACAACACAGGCCCCATTTTCCAGGGTCTGAGCCATGGAGCTTGGCTTCAGAAAACGGTGTAGCACCGTGCACTGCTGGAGAAAATCCCAGAACCGCATTTAGAGGCCACTATGCTTTCACAGGCTTCGTCGTCTCCGGGGGCCTCAGTGTTGTACAGACTGCTTTCTTTGGGGCTCTGGTCCCTTCTGCAGACACCCCAAGATTACGCCTCTCCCCCTGCATCCTCGACCATACACGGATCCCTTCCCTGCTGGCCAAAGCACATTCCCATTCTCAGGGGAGATCCTAGCAGGCACGGAGAGGGAGGGAGAAGGGCCCGTGCGCTGGAAGGGAGTGTGGGAGTCGCTGTCATGGCAACATCCTTCTGGTCCTCCACGCTGGGTCACTCAGCTCAGGCATCCGCCCAGCTGAAGGTCCTCGCTCTCTTTCCGGGAACAGATGTTGAGATAATTAAAACAACAACAGAACAAAAAACAGACCCAAACTGGTTACTAGGCAACTGAAGCTTCATCCATCTGACTCAAGAGGAACCGCCCCCCCCCCCCCCCCCCCCCCCCCCCGCCCAGAAGACAAAGAAGCGGAAACTCAGCCACCCGATGGATTGCGTGGGAGGCCACGCAGACAGGGCACTGGGACTGTCAGTAAGCGTGCTCGTCACAAGGGTCCCGGGCGTTGTGCGCTCGGCAGCACCCCGTGCAGCGCAGCGCCTGGGCGTGAGGGACCCCAGGGGGACACAGGGGCGGAGACCATGAGGAGGGGATGGAGGCAGAAACCAGACCAAGGAAGGCGCGAGGGACCGCACACACCTCCTGACGCAGGTTACCTACCTGTTCTCTCAAGGCTTCTCTGACACCTGCATTTCAGTTCCACCCATTTGTGCAACGCCTCATTTCGAACAACTCCCACGCGGTGTCACCTTCGCCAGAAAGAGGTTTTCTCTCACCCTTGGGGTGGGAAAATCGGTAGAACATAAAAATGACCATTTCAAGCATGTTTACGTGAAGGGACAGTCGCATCAGCAAGTTCGCGCGCGCCCTGGCGCCACCTTCACCGGCGACCCCACCTCCAGAATTCTCCCTGAGCCCGAACTCTATAGGTTTGTTAGCCTTTAATTAAACACTCCCCAGTGCAGGTTCCCCTCCGCGCCTGCTAACGGCTGCGGCTTAGGGAAAGCCACCGAGCAGGCGACTCGGAGACGCGGAACGACGAGGCGCTGAGGCACCCAGGCAGCGACTGGGGAGAGGCACGGCGGCCAAGCAGAAGGGTCTCGTCCGGGGGCGGTGCGTTTTCGCAGGCCCTCCCCCCCCCCCCACGCGAGGAACCGGGCAGATCCGGCGCCAGGCGGCCTGCCCGCGCGGGCGCAGAAAGGCAGCTCCAGTTTTGAGGCAACAAGCCGCTGCTGCTTTTTCCAAGCACGAAGGGCGGGGGAGGAGGACGGCAGAAAAACCTGCACGGCGCACTACTGCCACCTAGCGGCCACAGAAACTGAGCGCCACACGTTGCGAAAGCAAAGCCATCTTTTCTACCACTCCCCTGCGAGGCGAAGTGCAGATCGAGGCTGTGGGAGCTACGTGGAATGCCGCCGAAGGGCAGAGGAAGCCAGAGAACGGCCCAAGTGGCTCGGCCGAATCGGCCGCCGCACAAAAGCCATTTCGTCGTCCTGCCTCGGAAGTTTGCCAACAGCGGCCGGAAGCCCGCGCCCGGAAGTCCCGGCACCAGGGAGGGAGAATCGTCAGCGCTGCGATCCGATTGGTGCTTTCTGGGCATGCGCGCCGGAGTGGAATGACGTCGGCGCCGGTCGCTGGGCCCGGGCTCCTTAGGGGTCTGCGGACCTGTCAGAAGTACCGCGGGGACGGGGCTATCCCGGTACTGTCAGCAGGTTCCCAGGAGCTCCCACGCCCCACGGGCGACACCTGTACGGGTCCCCTGTTTATTGTCCTCCTCCCCACCCCAGCCAGTGAACACGCCAGTCCCGAAACACACTCGCTGTCCGCCCTCTCAGCCCTCACTCCTCTGATCCCTCCGGGCCCCCCTCAAGGCTCACGAAGATGGCCTCTCCGCCCCAGGAATGTTCTCCTTCTCCCCAAGCGGAGTATCGCCCTGCCCACCCACCTGCCCTGGGCATCAGGAAACGCCGCGCCCCTCCCTGGCGTCCCGAGTAGCTTTCCTCTCACTCAGCGCTCTGAACCGGATGCCCTGGTTGTCCGGCTCCCTCCCTCTAATGCCTCTACATCCACAATATACAGCCTCTTGGGGGCCTCCAGTCCAGACCCCAGGGCCACCTCAAGGTTCACCCCCAATAACAAACACTCCCTTTTTGTATGTGAGCACCAGAGCCTTGATGACGAAATTTTAAAATCTTAACTGAATTCTTTTATGTTAGTTCCACGGCCAGGAGAGAATTGCCTTTCATTTCCACTCATCCTTCCCGCATTATTACAGCTCTCTTCCGGTCTGTTGCAACTGCCTACGAATTCATGGAGAGGACGGTAGCGATCAGGTGGGACTTGCCACAGCTTCCCAAACCCTGTCCTGGCATTCTCTGCCGCCCCTCTGCATACATGCTCCACAGGGCAACCAGCCCCTCAGCTCTGCTCGGGATCCCGCGCCTCCCACCTTCTCAGAGACTTGGCTCCTGCAGTGGAGTCTCCTCTCTCCTGCTCTCTCTACGTGGGAGCATTCCACAATAGAGGGGGGGGGGGGAAACCCACTGCCTTCCCCCAAGTCATCCTGCAGCTACTGGCCCCCAATCTGTACCTTTCAAAGCAAAACTGCTTCAACTTCTCCCAAGGCCGTTAGCTCCTGCGCCAGCTTCAATTAGAGCTTTTGTCCCTCTCTCTCCACTGCGACTGTTCTTGTCAAGGCCTCCCTTAACATCCATATTGCCTGACACCACTCACACTCTGTGCACGTGCTAGGGAAGCTCTGAGGCACCTTTGGCGCTGTGACCATTCATTTCTCCACCTATTTTTTAGATAGATAGATAGATAGAGTTGGGAGGTGTATATAAACTCAATTTCTATTGTATTTGACAACGTGCCAATTTCACATTATGCCCCCTTTGACCTGGATATATGGGAATTTGGGTCAACATGAAAGACAAGCCAAAGAAAGAGTATCCTTTTCAGTCACAGAGGGGGCAAAGGCCCCCCAGAGGAAGTGGCGGCAGAGGTGAAACAGCTCAGACAAGGGACAGGGGTTCAAGAAGTGAGGAGGAGCTCCAGATACAGGAGGGTTTCCCCTCATTCACACGTGGGACTCACAGGGTACACTCTGTACAATGACCCAAGCGCTCTCTTTGAGTGAAGGGATAACTGGAGTGGAGATATATAGCTTTCTGGAGCTGATCTTAGTTCCTGCTATGTTGTAGATGAGATGGAGGGGGGCTGGACTCCCCTATGGGGGATGTAGAATGTGGCTGGGTTCATAACCAGAGGTTCATGAAGGAAGCTTTCACCCGGTAGAGGCTTAGATGACTCTGCAGCTGCACCTGTGGAGGGCACAGTCCTGCCCAGGGGTGGGATGGAGGATGAGACCCAGATGCAGAGGTATTTGCAGATGCCAGCTGAGTGAGGTAAGGCTGAGGCAGCCAGGGAGCACCAGGTCCCCACCAAGAGGAGGGAGACGGAAGTGCAAGTTACACCCGCCTCCGTGCATGGCATCAGCAGCTGGACCTGGGGGGACAAGAGTCATCCTTCCCTCAGAGACCACCCAGGGCACTGTGAGCCACATAGGTGTGTCACAGAACCCCCCACCCCTTTCCACATCATCACACACACCCGTAAGCCACACATACCCTTCCTCATACTGGGGAGGAGTGAGGGGCGAGGCGTGGTGGAAATGTGAGACTGAGCATTCGTAGATAGGGACCATTCAGCGATTGCATCGGACCACGCTTACCTATACCACATTCAATGTAAATGCATGGCTTCCCTCCCCGCTTGCCTTCCAGTCCAGATGAGACTAACGGAACCAAAGCGCCTGGGTGATGCGAGGAGCACGAGTGAGTCTGTGATCCGAGCTCACCATCCCCACCGGCTTTTCCTCTGCCCGCGGTCTGTCCAAGCAGTCATGTTAAAGGAGACTGGGGGTCCTCGTCTTGTCCTCTCCTTTAACTCAGGAAGCGTTTACCATCCACAGACGGACCCCAGGACAGAGGACAGAGAGAAGAGGGGCCCACACAGACACACACAGTGGAGTAGTTGACAAGCGTTGTCACAGAGCTGAGCTGGGCCTCCTCGTGGCCACCCGGCGCCTGCCCTCCACAGGCAATTTCTCCTCGAACAACACAGACGCTCACTTCAGGGCCTGAGTTCTGGATCTGGGCTTCAGAAAATGTATCCAGAGCCAGAGGAGGATGCCTGGAGGATCGCACCTAAAGCCAGTGATTTTTATCAGAAGAAGGAGAGGTTTTCCCTTCTTAATTGTTTGAAGGTAAAGCATGTGAGTTTCCTCCAGAGAGCTGAGGGGCCCAAGTGAGGACCTCAGTAGTTGCTGGCAGAGCCAGCACTATCCCCACACCCCAAGATCTTTTCCCCCCTCTGCTGGGTGCTCAGAACATCTGATCCTCGAGGGAGGGCCTCCCCAGGTCCGCCTAGAGCTGTCACATCCGCAAGTAGGGACCCGGGCTTTTGTTTGCAGAGACCAGCAATCGGGCACCCAATAAAGGACAAGTCTCAGGCCTCCAGTTGCTGTCACTGGTCCCGTGAGTGTGTTCTCCGTGGTGAGAGCCCAGTAGCTTCTGGCTCATGACAACACAGTCATGCAGCACGAACGGTGTTCGACGGGCTTTCTTTATAGGAAGCTAGAGGACTTAGAACGTACTCGCTTATGCCCACTGCCCCACTGGGTTCCTGAAGCTCAGAAAGTCATGCTTTCTACCCCCCCTTCGTCTGAGACAGTGGTGCCCTGAGGCCCTAGAGTCTCTCAGATGGAAACCACGGTCTAGTCCCGAAGAAGCCATCACGCTCTCGTGTCACTCTGGGGAAGGAAGGGGTCGACCTGGAGCAAGGGCTCGGTCTCTTCTTACAGTCGTGGTTCACCGGGCCTCCCTTCCTCATCTGGCCTCCTCTCAGATAATGACCTATCCCTCCCTCCCTCATCCAGCAGGGATAATAAGGAGCTTTGGAAAGATGGGGTTCCCTTCAGAAAGGCGTGGACTCTGTGGCCACAAAGCAATGGCCGAAGTGGCTTTCGGACCGGACCTTGGTCCTTCTCCTGAGAGCGTTCGCCTGAGTTACCGCTCGGCGTCTGACCAGTGGCCCCTGTGTAAGATCTTAGAACAGTCCGGACCTGGGCCACTCCCTGACTTGCAGCCACCCGCCGGAGCCTGCGCCCTGCATCCTCTTCACGGTGATCTGAGGACGGCACTCTGACCCCAGCTTTGCAGGGGCAGAATCACATGGCGCTTCTGTCCTGCGGCTCCATGGCCCAGCCTCTCTGTTCCTCATTGGAAGGACCTGAAAGCCCAGGCTCCTCACCACCGGAGAGGACATGCTGAGGCCAATCTCATGACCAGGACTTAGGTTTACAGAGCATTCTAGTCTATCCAGGCCCCGGCCGCAGACGAGGTTGCCCCGAACCAAGAAACATCTTTGTCGGAGACACCTGGTCTGAATGTCGTGGCCAGATGCCCAACGTCCCCAGACCTGCCACCGCCCCAACCCCCGGCCCCGACACCCAGGGCCCTCAATGGCGGCGCTGCTCTGAGCGTCCCCAGCACGACTCCTGTCCTCAGATGCCACCTCTGCCACAACTTCCCAATCCGTCCCCCCTCTGTTTCACTCTCGTCTGACAACTCAGTGTGGGGCTCTGCCGGGACACCAGCCGTTGAGGCATCTACCTGGAAGATGATGAATCTCTGAAGCCGCTTCTCCGTGGGTCACAGAGGCAGGAATGGGGCGGGAGAGAGGTGATGGAAGACTTGCTCCAACCCCACCGCTGCACGGACCCCACCGCTCTGCCCGCAACTGAAAGACACACCAGTGAGGCTCACCCCAGCTCTCGACTCTGTCATCGAGTCAACGGTCCGCACTATCCACAGGGGTTTCTGGAACCTGCATCCAGTTGTTTTTCAGACCTGCTTTTGGGGACAGAAACTAACATCCTCTGAAAGCACATAGCCACCTGCTTCTACTACCACCCTGTGTCTCTGATTCCTGTCAAGCCAGGTTTCTTGATCGTGTAGGCCACAGTGTGGACTTACTTGGCCACCTCTGGATCCCTCCGCGATGTCCCCCACCCGCGGATCATCCCTTTGCCAAATTCTCCAAAGAGCTCCATGTTGCCAAACCAAAGTACCCAGCGCCGTCTCGGCCACAGTAACAGCCCTCGGTTTCACGATGCTGTGGTTCCTCAGCTTCTGGGACCGCAGCCCACCCT